TACAGGTGAATAAAATGTTTTAGCAAAGTGCTAAGATGTTTTAAACATGTTATTGGCACATTTTAGAACAATGCTAACGTTTTTAATATTGCTGATTGCTGGTTAAAGTGCATGTTTTATTGCATTTTAACAATTCAACACTTGCGGTTTGTTTGTACCATGTTTTTAGCACACTGTTAATGTGATTTAACATGTTGCTAACATATCCCAGGCTACATTTCTGCGTTCCTTTTCCTCCTAATATGTATTTTAATCTCATTTGTACTGTGGATATGCTGTTTTTCAGTAGGTTATATGAGCGTGTGGTCTGTGTGTCCGGCAGCAGATGGACTCTAATGGCGGTTCTCCAGGATTCATCAGCAACAGCAGGAGACTTTTCAGTTTTTCCTCTTAAATGCCCACATCTCCGGACCCTGAACGATTTGTGATTCCTGCATCCCATAATGAACATTTGAGACATTAACACACTAAACGAAGTGCAATCCTTTCTGAAATACAGATATTATACACTGAAGCAAAGACACAAGCCAAAGTAAACCCGAGGCCCGGAATGCCTGCATGATCACATGACATCATCATTACATCATGGGTCATGTGATCGCAGGTGTTTGTTTGTATCCTTGTCCAGTTTCACTTGTGTTTTTTACACCTATTTGCTTGTTGTACAATCACTGATGGGCTTTCAGAGAATGTGGACTCCTGAATATAATGCGAATGCAGACGTTTTTACATATATTATACATATATAACAATTGTAACGCACTAGTAATAATATTAATAGTCATCGAAATATGTTCTAGTAGTTAGTTAGGTAGGTAGGTAGATAGTTACAATGTTAAATAAAACTATGACAGACCAAATATGAATGTTCAGAATTTAAAACAAGTTAAGGTTTATTGATATACAACATCATGCTGACACTTTATTATAGAATTTCAATTACAATTATACACTTCAAAATGTTTGTAAGGCAAGACAATCAACCTTATATAGCATTTATATTTGAATATAAAAATATATATATAAATATAATTTAAAAATGGGCAGCACAATGGCTCAGTAAGTACTGTCGCCTCACAGCAAGAAGGTCACTGATACGAGTCCCAGCTGGGCCAGTTGGCATTTCTGTGTGAAGTTTGCATGTTCTCCCCTCTCTAAATTAGCCGTAGTGTATGAGTGTGTGTGTGAGAGAGAGTAAGTGTGTATGGGTGTTTCCCAGTACTGGGTTACAGCTGGAAGAATGTCCGCTGTGTAAAACACATGCTGGATAAGTTGGCTGTTCATTCCGCTATGGCAACCCATGATCAATAAGGGACTGAGGACTGAAGAAAAATGAATAATGAATAATATAATAATAAAATTTAGAATTCATTAATACATTCAAATTATTTATGACGTATTTAGATAATTATTTGTACTATAATTATAATAATTTTTTTAAATATTAGCTTTCATTTTAATTTGAATATTTTTATGAGCTTTTGTATAATCTATTTGTATTTTTTATGTTATATATAGCTACAATTTATGTAAATATATATATTTAAAAGTATATAAATATATATATAAAGTATATAAATATATTTAAATATATATAAATCTAAGTGTTATTAGATTTAGTGCTTAAAAATTAAATTGTCTTTTATTTTAATTGTAGCTTCTGTGTCTGTAATTGTGAAGTTTGTAAATTGTATCTCTGCTGTTCATGATTGCTTTTGTAAATTTAATATTTAAAAAAATGTATATTAATAGTGTTTTATTTAATATTTAGAATTAATCTGATCTTATTTCAGTGGCGCAGTAGGTGATGCTATCGCCTCACAGCAAAAAGGTTGCTGGTTTGAGCCTCGGCTGGGTCAGTTATCGTTTCTGTGTGGAGTTTGCATGTTCTCCATGTGTTAGTGTGGGTTTCCTCCGGGCGCTCCGGTTTCCCCCACAGTCCAAACATACAGTATGTGGTACAGGTGAATTGGGTAGGCTAAATTGTCCGTGAGTGTGTATGGATGTTTCCCAGAGATGGGTCGCAGCTGAAAGGGCATCCGCTGCACCAAACGTGCTGGATAAGTTGCCGGTTCATTCCACTGTGGTGACCCTGGATTAATAAAGGGACTACGCCAAAAAAAAAAAAAAAAAAGAATAAATGAATGATGTCTTGCCATAAACTTAATTTGCATTACTATAATTTAGCTGATCTTTACAAACGTATTGAGAAATTGGTTAAAATAATTTTCTCTAATTCACTGTAAAACCCAACAGTCAACTTTATCGAATGAAATGAGTGTAGTGAAGTCAATTGACTGAAAGTTAACTCATTCGAAAAACTCAGTGTTGAAGGTACAAGTTAATTAAATACCTCATTACTTCAACTTGAATGGAGCAAGTTCACAGTACTCATATAGATTAGCTTTTTAACTCAAATAGTTTATTGCAATTGGTTTCCTCAAACAGTTTGAGTTGCCTTAATGTATTGTGTTTTACAGTACTCAATTGGTATTAGTTCTCTTCATTTATTGGGTTTTACTGCGCTCAAATTACTTCATTTACTCAAATGAAATTCACATTAGGATTAGGTTTTGAACTTAAACGCTTTGGTTCAATCGGTTTCCTCAAATGGTTTGAGTTACCTTAACTTTTGGGGTTTTGCAGTGCAGTAATCAGCATAGATATCAGAGATGACATAAGGTTTAACTTGTTTTAAATCAGGAACATTCAGGCTAATTTTACCAAAGCCTTTAACACCCAGAGGAAACGAAATGTTAATGCAGGCTGCAAGATGATCTTATTTCCTGAAGCCTTACTCTTGAACACATATTCATTCATCGAACTACCTCTCTGTACATTTATTCATTTAGCAGATGCTTGTCTCCAAAGCGCCCGTACACTAATTTCAAATCGACTATAGGCTCATCTGATGGGAATGTTGCATGCATGATTTTGTTCTTGAGACATCACTATCTAATCGTCTGTTTATATTTGCATCGCTGTTGAATTGTGTAACCGTGCTCTTATTCATTATTATTTCTTGCAGCTGCAAGCACAAATACACACAAACACACACTAAACCAGATTGCTGTTAAGCAATACTCAGAGCTGGGTAATAATGTAAACATGTAATCTGGATTATGTACTCAGATTAGGCACTTGAATACTTAAAATACTCATAATCAGGCTACAGTTTTTGATCTGCCAGTACTAAAATGTAGACGGATCACTCTCATGTCTTAACCTGCTCTTTTCTCTTACATTTCTGCATCTTCAATGGTTTGAACAATGCCGTAATGCTCATTTTGACAGATGAACTTCCGACTGGATCAGGTAGGCTATCAGAAGCCGTGTGAAGTATTAACCGTGTGTGTTGTTTTCCATTAACACGTCATTTTTTTGAAAGTGATGTGTGTCTAAATCACATATATAATGAAATTGTGATAGGATGAAATAAAATACAAACAAAAAGCCACATTTATAATCTAACTAGCTGATTAGAGTCTTCCTGGCATACAGCAATACCGCTTTACATTAATACCTGGTGTATCATCTTTGCTGTTTATTGAATATACAAATACATTGATTTAATAAAAGCAAAAGTCTCTGAGAGGTGCTGCATATCATGAGTCATATTCTGATCCCGGACATTACGGTGGTGCAGAGGGTAGCACGATCGCCTTACAGCAAGAAGGTTGCTAGTTTGAGCCTGGGCTGGGTCAGTTGGCATTTCTCTTTTAGTTTGCATGTTCTCCCCGTATTGGTGTGGGTTTTCTCCGGGTGCTCCGGTTTCCCCCACAGTCCAAACACATGCGCTATAGGTGAATTTAATAAACTATATACATATACAAACTATATTTAATAAACTATATATATATATATACACATCCATCATGAGCCATATTCATAGCAAACTAAGCCATCAAATTGACGTCATCAGAGAAGCAGCCAATCCAAACACAGAAGCAAACAATCACACTTTGATTGAAGATTAGCAAAACAAACTCTTTTAAGTGTGAATTAACTTGCGTGGATTAATAGTTTACATTATGAATAGCAATGTGTGCTAGCAAAATAAGCATTGTTAATTTTGATTCCACACAGACTTTATATCTGTCAAATATGTGAAATTAGTTAATTTAGGAAAACAGAATCTTTACAGATGGCTCAGTGGTTAGCACTGTCGCCTCACAGCAAGACGGTTGCTGGTTCGAGTCTCGGCTGGGTCAGTTGGCATTTCTGTGTAAAGTTTGCATGTTCTCCCTGTGTCGGCGTGGGTTTCCTCCGGGTGCTCCGGTTTCCACCACAGTCTAAACACATTCGCTATAGAATTGAATAAACTAAATTGGCTGTAGTGTGTGATTGAGTGTGTATGTGGTGCTTCCCTGTATGGGTTGCAGCTGGAAGGGCATCCGCAGTATAAAACATATGCTGGATAAGTTGGTGGACACCTGATGGATAAATTAAGGGACTAAGCCAAAGGAAACTTAATGAGAATCTTTATAACTTTAATGTATTCATCATTAAGATTTTCATTTATTATGATTTATGGCATATTATTATTAATATTCAGAGTTCTTACGGAAATGCTTGAAAATGCTTGATATTTAATAGTGTTTTCAAGGATTGAATAGTGCTTAGATTTTGGATAAAGTGCTTGAAACTGCTTAAAATGTAATTGTGTTGCTGTAATGATAATAATGATTCTTACTAAAATGGTAATGATAATAATTTTTTTTGCGTAATTTGAAATCTGTCTGCCTTTTGTATGTGTGCCCTTTGATTAAGCCATGAAAAAGGACTAAATGCATTGAGATGATCGCTCTAAACAATGGCTGGCATTAAAATAAACACATTTAAGATAAAAGGTGACACATTTCAAATGTGAGCAGGCTAAATGACACGAGTAAAATGAGAGTAATTCAATGTTGGGCTTTGGGAAAACATCAGAAATATGAACTGGAATACCATACTATACTATACTATACCATACTATACTATACTATACTATACTATACTATAGGCTATACTATACTTTAGTCTATATTAGGCTATACTATAACAAATAGCATCTGATATAATGCCATTAAGACACTTGTAAAGTGCTGGAAAATAGAAATGCACCTGGAAAGTGCTTAAATTTGACTTTATTTCATTTATTTTTTATTGATTAAACAGGGGAGTATATATTTATTTATTAAACAGTATACTTGAGAATTAACAACAACAATCAATCATGTACATTAAGTTTGGCAAAGGTGTACGAATCTTAATTATTGGGCTGGCTTGATTGGCTCGTTGTGTTGCGAACACCTGGCAACCTTGCTGCGTAGCGGTTGTTTGGCGTGAAGAGATCCAAACACAACACCACGAGCTTTTAAGCAGTTTTAAAGACATTTCAGTGTGATTTTCCTCTAGTGAATGTTTATTCAGGAGCTCAGAGATGTTTGAGAAAGTGCGGAAAAGCGCGTATGATGTGGAGGAGTTCAGAAAAACCGCGTTCAGGAGAAGATCAGCTGGATTAAATGTGGAGAAGAAGAAAAAGGTCAGACGCGGATCCGTTCCCGGTGAGACTTCAGCGATAATATTAGTTTAATCTGTGTGTTTTTATACATAGTCTGTGGTTTGGTTTCTCCTTCAAACATTGTGTATATTGTCTGTGAGGACTAATCAGAAATTGACAAGCATCGACTGGTCTTGAGTTATTAAGTGTCAGTGTTTTGTTTTTATTATTGTTTTGTATTTAAATTAGTTGGTATGTATGCTACTTTGCGTCATTATGTTTGCAGTTGGTGTTGACACAAGTATACAGCTGTTTGGCTGCAACATTTGATAAACATTGTAATTTTTAGGCTATCATATTATAAATACATAATTCTAGATATTAATGGTTTTGATGCACGTTTAGTTATCTAATATATAGATATAAGATATAAGTATAGATTTTAGTCGTGTATTAATGAGGTCAAGTTGGTTTAATATTCACATATTCAGACTTTCTCTTTGATAATATAATTTCAGAAACGTATTCTTTGCCAAGTCCTAATAGGCACGTTTATTTATATGCATTTCATACACAGTGGTAATTCAAAGTGCTTTACATAAACAAGAATAACAGAAACAAGAAAATAAATCGATTAAAAGAGTTTAAAATGTGTTAAAACAGGTTATAAAATAATAATAATAATAAATGAAATCTTATATATTAGCAACCAACAGCTATCAAAGTACAACATTGCTCACAGTCAATTAAATAGTGCTCATGTTGTTTTGAAATGACACTTACTGTACATGTGATTTCAGTTCATATATATATATATATATATATATATATATATATATATATATATATATATATATATATATATATATATATATATATATATATATATATATATATATATATATATATATATATATATATATATATATATATATATATAT